TCCCTCCCTCCCTCTCCCTCCCTCCTTCTTCCTCCCTCCCTCTCCCCCTCTCTTTTTGTTTTTCTCTACTTCTGATTCTGTCATCTGTTCCTCTCTCTGTCTCTCTCACATTGCATTAGCCAGCAACTCTTGAACATGGGATCTTCCCCGGGTTGTGGTCTATATACTGGGTATCACACTATTTTAAAAGGCCCTTCTCCCTCTCCATCTCCCAGAAGCTACCCAATGTCCATAACTCTTCAGCTAGGAATAAAACATCATGTTCCCCATTTCTAATTTCAAATCTGTTCTCAGTGAGTTGAAGCTTTGTCACTCATCTTAAAAACACACAGACTAGCTACATTAATAAGAATGTTATATCAGAAATGGCCACTTAACTTCTGGTCCTAGATCCTAAGATTCAATTCATCAATCATGCTTTCTAGAAAACTAGGAGCTAGACCCCGAGCCTGAATGTAACAGGACATTCTGTAAACAGAACTCTCAGCTAAAAGGTGACAACAGAATAGCACTCTTGTCTCCTTTATCAGCTACTAACAGAGTTCAGGTCATAAAGAACCGAGCACCACACTTCGCTGAAGGAAACTTTCAGGATATTTCAACAACTAGCCCTTTAAGAATTCTTAATTGACTCCTCTAACAGTACTAAATGGAAAGAACCCCCTCCTTTCCTTTGTGTAGATTATTTCAGATCCATTACATCTCTAATAATACAGTTTCAGTTTTTTTTTAAACTATCATTTATTACATAGAGGCAGTGAGCCTGAAGCATTAACAATTGTAACTATGTCATCTGTATATGTATAGTTATATGCTGGAAAAAATATAGACAGTATAATACATGATAAAAACTATTTGTAATTTCATTATAGAATCGTGTAATGAAACCTTTTTTATTTATTTTTATTCTATGCATATGAGTGTTTTGCCTGCGTATATGTATGTTTTTAACTAAAATATTTTTTTTATTTTTACTAACATTTAATAGTCAACAGCCTAAAAGCATTTGCTAAAATGGATATAAAATGCATAGCATGAGTGTTCCTTACAATTAAGAAACTCTAAACATTCGGAGAGATGACACCATCCACCTCTTTTTTTTTAATTGAATATTTTATTTACATTTCAAATGTTATCCCCTTTCCCAGTTTCCTCTTTGCAAACCTCTTATCCTATCCCCTCCTTACCCTGCTTCTATTACAGTGTTCTCCCACCCACCCACCCACTCCTGCCTCACTACCCTAGCATTCTGGGGCATAGAGTCTTCGCAGGACCAATAGCCTCCACTCCCATTGATGACAGAAAGAGAAATATTTATTTATTTATTTATTTATTTATTTATTTATTTATTTATTTATTTTGGTTTTTCAAGACAGGGTTTCTCCACGCATCCCTGGCTGTCCTGGAATTCACTCTGTAGACCAGGCTGGCCTCGAACTCAGAAATCTGCCTGCCTCTGCCTCCCAAGTGCTGGGATTAAAGGCATGAGAAACAATTCTTTAAGAATTTCACGCAATGCGATTTTGATATTTATCCCCATTACTTTATTATCCCTTCCTAGATCAGCCACCATTTCTTGTCTTCCATACTTTGCACCTTTGTTAAAAATTTAAAGCAACCTTGAGTTCACTTAGTGCTGACCCTGTATTCTCAAGTATAGAGTCATTCAATGAAGCATGATCAACCTCCAAAAGCCCACACTTGCCAGGTTTCAAATGCCAGTGGCCCCTTAGCTCAAGATGGGACTTTGTTATCCTCCCCACTCCGTGCTGAGATTTTGTCTGCTTTTGTCATACACAGGTCCTGTGAATACTTTTATAGCTATCATGAATTTATGCATTTTACAGCCCTGTTGTTTGCAGAAAATTCTAGTTTGTTTTAGTCATCTTACCATCTTCACCTCAGTCTTCTACAATATTCCCGAGCTATGGGAGAAAGGAGTGAGACACTTTGTGAATTCTGTCAAAATAAAACTCTGATTGATAAATTTACTTAAGCTATTATATTAAGTTTAAAATTTCAGAAGTTAATTCATAAAAAATGTGTCCAATTTTTTAAAGAAAACTGTTTTTTCCAACACATTGCCTATGTTAGTCATATGCTAGTCTTAATTCAAAACTAAATAGAAAGTATGGTGACATTTTAGGGATTTTTGAAGTATGACAATAATGGAAGGAAATGGCAACAATATACTTTATATTATAGAAGGAACAAAAGTTATTTTGAGTCATATTCTAATACTCTATTTCTACAAATTGCTTCTTTATCAAGACAAAATGAAAATTATGAATTCAGTTTCAAAATTATTTATACTTCTTTGATGACTTTTATTAAGTAGTTCAGGAAAAAAAATATATCCCATTGGTCTTCCAAATTGCCTTATTCTGTTTCACGTACTTTGTGTGGGATTTGCATGAGCCTTTAAAGCTGTTTTGTATAGCGTTGTTTTTTTGGCACCAGTGTCACAGAGTGCCTCACTATTACTCATGTCAGAATGTTCCTACAACCTGGGAATTTCACGGAACAAAAGCTTTGAGCTAAGCACACCTGTGGGAGCTGAATGGGACAAAATCAACCAAGTGTTGCCTAAGACTGGTGCTGGTAATCACCTGTGTGCTTGAGGCATGCCTGACTTTGTTCCACTTTTATAAAGTGTTTTCTTTTCTTTAGTGTTTTTCTTTTCTATTATATTTTTGAACATACCTTTATACCAGGTAACACTTATTTAAGTTCACATTCCAGGATATACAAATCACAGATGTCGTTGAACAAAACAAACACAAGTCAGTAGTCTGTATATTTATTCAATAATACTCAGGTTTTCCTAATTATGTCTTAAAATAAAGCATATGAACTTATTTTTTCCTCTGGAAAGGATTTTGAAATTCTCCTTTGTACACTAACTTTAAAAGTTGAAAAAAATGTGTCTGTCTATTAAAATCTTTAAGACTAATGATTCAAGAAGTACTCTTCATTAATGAATTCCCCCATGCTGGAATTTTTAAATTTCTTGATCTTGGGAAGGGTGCACATGGATTAGAACAGCTGGTTCTAATCTTCTGGATATTAGCTTCTCCCTTTCATCTCTTTTCTAATGCTCGCTGATCTTATAGCAGCTGAGATAGTTGTTGGACTCAGGGCCAAGATACAACTGTCACTTCTCAGCACTTCAAATCATTATCTGTATTAACTGCAACCCACTGTGCAAAGAGACTTCTCTCTTGCCATGGCTGACAACAGCATTAAACTATGGATATACACTTCAGAAATATGGAGAAGGCAGCTTGATACTACATTCATTCAGCAAAACAACCATTATTCCATGATCTCTTCACTCATGGGCTTTTGGCCAGGTGAAGCTAGCCTCTGTCAGAGCATGGTTCAGGAACAGAGTCATGTGGGGAGAGTGTTGAGTGCTTATGAGAAAACACAAAGGAAAGATGAGAAAAGTCTTATGACTTCAGTTTCTTCAAAATATAGAATTGTTGGATTGTGTTTTGTGTTCCTCGAAGGTATAGTGGCCAGGAATGGGTTTACTTCAGATTATTCCTTATTGCATACTGCTGTTTTATTCCTCCTTGGAAAAATATTTCTTTGCCGTATGTGGCTTGTCCTTGTGATTATATACAGCTTGAAGTCATGAGAGCTTTACTCATGTGTTTTTGCTTAACCTTCTGAGAATAAGTTTTTTGATGCTAGAATAAAGTTGGCTGTTGCACGACACCTGTGTCCACCTCATATAATGGCTCCATTCTCTCAGGTTCCACCACCTCTAGAGCAGTGACAGGCAACAAGTTTTCAATGTGACCACTCCTATAACAGGAAAAACATCAAGAGATATAGTAAATACCGTAAAAACATTATATTCTTATACAAGTATTTGAAACAAATAAGATCTATTTCCTTTCTGTCTTAAGAATGTAAATTTCTATCATATTTCTATAATTTGTCTTTGACTCTGAGCCATGCTAGAGGAATAGGACTCCCTGAAGGTTCTGTTGACCTGTCAGAACACTGCAAGGATCTCTGCTGTCAGGAAGACTATCCTTGGCTGTTATCACTAGATGAACCTTGGCCTCTTTGCAGAGATCAAGAGGTCTTCGGTAACCAAGAAGCATACAAGGAACACGAGTCAGAGAAAGGAAAATTCCCCCAAACAGTAAATTAGGAATCAGATTGAAAATGAACTTGGGCTAGCTTATTGTCCTGAGAAAATGTTGTTAATTTATTTAAGGTTACACAAATAGTTATTTAAAAACAGCTGGCCTCTGAAAAGTAAAACTAAGTTTCTGGAGCTATGTGCCTGAGTACTCATAAAGTGGTAAGCATAATGAGAGCTGGATTTTTCTCTATTTCAGATCTTTCTTGACCAGAGGATCATTTTCTCCAAAGGTAAAATGAAGAAAAAAGGAACTTTCTAAGATCCAGGCAATGGTTGCAGATAAAACCTACAGTGAAAAAGCAGTGGTTGACAGCTACTCCGAGGTCTAGAGAACTGGAAGAGATGCCTTGGAATGATAATAGCTAGATATATGAATTGATTCTTTCTATAATTGAATAAAATTGCCTCTATTCTAAGTCTGCAACGGACTATTTGACAATGTACACATTTTGTGTGCTCACATGTGTGTTCTTAAGGCTCCAACTCAAAGTAATATAGCACAACTCATACTCCAATACAAGAAGGTCCTGGTGTTAACAGAATCATATCTACAGTAAATTCAGTTAGGTTTGAGTTTATCTTTCTAGCACTTCCTATACTTTAATGAAATACTGAAGAACTTATACACTTTTCCCTTCAAAGAGCATGAATGTAGAAATAAAATTAAATAAAATATAATTTTCATTGAGTAAGAGTAAATGACAGTCTTCCAAAATTTGTCAGATGCAGATAAATATTTTTCAGGTAAATTGCATTTGATATAAGTGATATGTAAGGGGAAATAGGAAAAATGGGGAGGAGATTTTAATTGAGAAATGAAGAGAGGGATCAATATAGAAGGAGAGGAAAGGGGAAAAAGAGGAATAAATACGACTAAGGATGTTTTAAAAATCATTAAGGAAACATTATTTATATTTATCTAAAATTATATTTAATACACACATAAATATTTATATATCTTTATTGCATTTGGAATGATAATGTTCTCAAAAACAATATAAATTGATATTTTAAAAAAAACTATATAGAAATGAATGATGTTAATAATCTATAATGAAAAGATGAACAAATATAAAACTGGTCAAATTATATTACTAACCATGCAATTACTATAAAACTATATTAAATACAAATCTTTGATGCTTATACAAGAATAGACATGAAATCATTGTAACATAATGGTTAAAAATAGACAAACATGTGTTACTCAGTATTCTTTAAAGGAACAGAACTGATAGAATATATGTATATATGTATAAATTTATTGATAACTGACAGAATATATATATGCATATATATATATGTGCATATATGTGTTTGATTTTTAAGTTTGAATTCTAGGTTCTTGTCCAGGTAATTCCAACAGTGGCTGTCTCACATAGAAGAGGCTGAGAATCTTGAAGACTTTTAGTTCCTAAGTCAGGTTGTCTAGCAGTTCTAATCTTGCATCAAAGACCTGGAGGATCTTGACAGTTTTCAGTCGATGTCGGAGTCCTGAAGAAGTTAGTTTGCATATCAATAAAGGAATGCCACAACATCATGATAGATGGGCTTGCCAGCAAATGATGCCAAACAGTCAAAGAGCAAAGTTTCCTTATTCTGTGTCAGATGGTGCAGCCGAGGTTCAGAGTGGGTCTTTCTGTTCAAATACTTGTAAGCAAATCTTTCCTGGGAGTGCTGAGCAGTTGGGTTTTAGTTGATACCAGTGCAGACAAGTTGGGATCCCCCAAGATTGACTGTCACAAGTCAGTTTGACACACTAATGACATCTCCTCATCCCATGCTTAATTTTCAAATGAGAACAACAAGCAGGTAATAATTTCACCTAACATAATATAACTAGCCCAAAACAAAATCAAACACATTTTATATTTAAGAATAGATGTCAAAGCCATTGAGGAATGGTTAGTCTTTTAGTGTCTCGTGACTTCAATACGATAATTACACAGTTAGCCACCAATACTCTCCTAATCAATGGTGTGTTACATGATGAAGAAATTAAGGAAAGAAAGTTCAAATACTGTCTTAACATAAGTACACAAACATGTTCTTAATGAAATAGGACAGAAATGTTCATGTCAATTAATGTCCTCATTTCTCAACTGGGTCATGTGGTCTTAGGTGTGATTACCCAAAGGTATTTATTTGGGGAGATTTATCAGAATATCACTGGTGCCTCTTAATATGTGTATGTTGCATACTAGGGCAGATGAATGAAGACTCTGGCAAGGAGATTTGATGCCTCTCGAATTATACAAACTGTACAGCATAATGCTTTGAATACGCTTTATATATCTACTAATTTAGCTACCTATGCTTTCCTGTCTGAATTTCTTACATGGCAGAAAACACACTGCAATTCAAATTTACAGCCAAAATTAGGATCGTAAAATCAATTCACAGCAAACATCTTGAATATATAGCTTCCACGTACACAAATCTCATCAGAAACTTAGTTTTTTTTTCCATCGAAACGATTAATTTCTAGGGAAATAATGAAAGCAATCTTCAAAGAAATCCAATCTATAGTAATTATCTCAGCTAATGAATGGGTCACACAGTGAGCAAGCTGTATTGAGAGACTCACCCATCTGTTGTATTTTGAAACTCACTGCACATTTGGCAAACAACCCAGTGTTAAGCTCTGATTCACCAAGCTCCTTTATCTTTTAAATTATATTAAATAATTGGTTTCATGTTTTGGCTGCTTTTCTCATTTTACTTTTTGTGTGTGTATGTGTGTGATTACGATTATGAATGCAATCAACAAAGCATGGTATCTTGGTAGCTGTTTTCATCTACCTAGCAGTCATGCGGAAAACAGTACTTTGCATTTATCACATGGGATACAGCATTAGGTAATGCTGCCAGTGAGCCTTTTAAAGCGATTATATAAAACAGAGAATGGGTGGCCTCCTCTCGAGTTTCTAAATCAGAACCTCCAGGGAGAAGCTTGAGAAATTCACTTGCTTGACGGATCTTCTAAAATGCAGAGCAGTTTTGGTCTAGAGAAATGGCTATAAGAATGCTCAGTGCAGGGATATACTTTGTCTCTTTATACTTTTGTTTTTCTGTATTCCAACTTGAAAAAAGAATTTCTCCATAAAATTTATGACAGCTTGTTCTTTTCTGCATGAATAAAGGAAAAGAGGACAGAGGACAGTCAGTGACTAATAAATATGCCTCATTGCAAACTTACCTTCTTCATCTTCTGTTGGGACGGTATATACTTTACCAGAGACATTCCTTTCTAATAAATAACCTTTCAGATGGACACTATAAACTTGAATTAGCCTACACAAGTTTGAACAATGCTATTGCCACCACTGCTTCAAACCCTAAACTCTAAACAAGCACCAATTGTTCATGCTACATTTTACAGGTGATAAAGAACTGACGTTCATAAATCTCATAGTAGGCTCTTAGGCAATTTCCCTGAAACTTTAGAGATTTCATAATGATTTCAGATCAGAACTTTTACATCGCCATTTGTGCCCCATTACTTATTTTTAGGATGTTTTTTGTATTGTATTTTATATAATTACAGGTATAATACTGAAATGGTTAAGAGTGTTTTTTTGAAGACAGATTTAGATTTGAACCTTTAATTTACACTTCATGTAAAATGGCTGTGGAATGTTTTTTCTAGACAGTCTGGGATGATCTATGATATAAACAAAATGACAATAAAATATGAGAATTACATATTGTTCTGGGGGTGGAGGATGGCTCTGCAGGTAACAATACTTCCTGCTCTTCAAGAGATTATTAATAATAATCATACCACTCTTGTAGGAAAACCCATGACTACCAGTAATTCCAGTTCCAGGGCATCTAACATTCTCTTCTGTTCTCTGTGTGTACACACACACACACAAGTGGCATCACACAGGAACACAAATAAAATAAATCATTAAAAGACTAATTATAATATATTGATTAATTTCAAATTAAAATATATTCTATTTTATTATCCCATCCCATAGTAATTAGACAAATTATTATTTTTTTGTAAATCAATGAGGAAAGGTTGAGTTTCACAAAAGATATGGCTATTTCTTTTTTCCCCTGACTTCTTTCCTTCTTAATTATTTTTTTATTGATTATTTTATATATTAACATTTCAAATGTTCTCACCCTTCACGGTCTTCTCTCTGCAAACACCCCACACACTCTCCCACCTCCCCTTTGCCTCTAAGAGGGTGCTTCTCCACCCACCTACTCTTGCCTCACTCCTCTAGGATCCCCCTTCTCTAGGTTAAGCCTCCACAGGACCAAGGGCCTCTCTCTCATTGATGCCAGATAAGGCAATCCTCTGTTACATACGCAGCTGGAGCCATGAGTCCCTCCTTGTGTACTCTTTGGATGGTGGTTTAGTCCCTGGGAGATCTGGAGTGTCCGATTAGTTGACACTGTTCTTCCTATGGAGTTGTAATCCCCTTCAGCTCCTTTAGTCCTTCACCTAACTCTTCCATTCAGGCCCCCGGGCTCAGTCCGATGGTTGACTGTGAGTATTTGCATCTTTATTGGTCAGGTGCTGTTAGAACCTCTCAGGAGACAGCTATAACAGGCTCCTGTATGCGAACACTTCTTGGCATCAGCAATAGTTTCGGTGATTGCTGTCTGTGGATGAGATGTATCCCAAGATGGGGCAGTCTCTGGATGGCCCTAACTTCAGTCTCGGCTCCATATCTTTTGACCCTGGGTTTCTTTTTTGACAGGAACAATTCTGGATTAAAAATTTTGAGATCCCAGGTGGTCCTTTCAAGTTCTATCTCCCCTCTGTTGGGTATTTCTGCTAATGTCATCCCCAATGGGTCCTGGGAGCATCTTACATCCCTGGTGTCTGGGATTTTCTAGTGGTTCTCTATTCCCCACCCCCTACTACTACATATTTCTATTCACTGTCATGGCCCTCTGGACTTCTCTCCTGCTTTTCCCATACCTGATCCTGCTCCCCTGTCCTGTCCAACAAAGCATTAAACATGGTCCAGGAAGATCACCTAAGAGAGAATGGGGGGGAAATGGGCGAATGCAAAGAAACATGGCTTGTCTATAGGCTGATCAAACCATTATTTTTACTTTTTTCACACAGGGGTTAGATACACAAAAAGGCAAGATGTGGGGAAGGGGATGATGCAGGTATTCAGGCAGAGTACAGATATCTTCCAGAACAAAGAGTCAGCTGAGTGAAGGTTCAGGGAACAGATCACTGTGACTCTGCCTATGATTCACTTGTCCTTATCTAAGTTGGTTCTATCCACCAAGATTACCAATCTACAAGATCTATGACTATTTAGCCTGGCAGTTTTCCACCAAAGCTGCTTGTTTATAATAGATTATAGCTAGCTGTTTCAGTGTTTTTCCACAGAGACTCAAGACTTTGTGTTAGGAGGCATGTATGTCAGACCTATTGCTGATGTTAGGCCTTCAGTGTATAAGC